ATCTGTATATAGAAAAATACGATACACGATAAATCGCTAACAAGTTAATTACTGGTGTGACAATCCAATCTTTATTTGTTTTTCATCTTTTAATTAATTTTAGATTCTACCGGCTTTACACTTCGTCCGGTGGCAGGATTATTGTCCTCGCGTGACTTCCTGGCTGGATTAGCGTTTAGAGTGTTTCACAGCACTCAATACATAAGACATAGTAGTAAACCACTTTACACGCCGGAACCGGATGTATGTCACGAAATTTTGGGCCATGTACCACTCTTCGCTGATCCATCATTTGCGCAGTTTTCCCAAGTCATTGGACTGGCGTCTCTTGGTGCACCAGATGAATATATAGAGAAACTTGCAACGGTAAAAATATCTTAACTATATATTAGAAAACTGCAATATTATAGTAAAAATATAAAAATCTGTTAATCGTAGTATTACGATCATGTAACAGAAATTTGTTTACAAAAATTTAAATCAAAGGACTAAACATTACGTTGATAATTTAGCTCTTTCTAGTAATAATATTACAATTTATTAACAGTAAAAAAATTTTTTTTAATTTCTTCTTTCTCTGAAAATAAATAGTAAATATTCAAACAACTTAAAATCCATAATTGAAGTGTCTTTTAGACATTTTATGTATCAATAATTTTAGACTTTGCGTTGTCTGAATAGAATATCAAATTAATTTTATTCATAACTTGTTTCTGTAGTGCTTTTGGTTTACGGTGGAATATGGAATATGTCGGCAAAATGGAGAATTAAAGGCGTATGGTGCTGGTCTACTCTCGTCGTTTGGTGAATTGGAATATTGTCTGAGCGGTGAGCCAGAACTCCGACCTTTTGATCCCCCGAAGACTGCATTACAAAAATATCCGATAACAGAATATCAACCCGTATATTTTGTTGCCGAGGACTTCGAGGACGCAAAAGAAAAGATGACGTAAGTACAGGAACAACAAATAAATGTGTCGAAAAAATACTCTTATCTATCACGGGTTAACACTTGTTTTTCGCATTGTATGCAACATTGGCAAATACGTTTATTGCAAGCTAAGGATATACATATAATTTCATGCCAAATATCATACGCTTTATATTCGTCTGAAAATATCATGAAAATCTAATTTAATAATGTAGCAATCTTAAATAAACATGATAATTTTTTTAATTTTAGGAAATTTGCTCAAAGCATACCAAGAAAATTTGGAGTCAGGTATGACGCTTATACGCAGAGTATCAGCATTATTGACAGTAAGCAACAAGTGGAAGCTCTTGTTAACAATGTCAACCAGGAAGTACAGATTTTGAGGGATGCGTTAAAAAAATTGCAACATTAGAATTAGAATTTTATTCAAGAATTAGTTTTATTCGTGTTATCCTTTAATATATTTTATCCTTTTGATATATTTTAAAAATATTATCACAATTTATTCTTTTTACATGTTTCTTTTAATAAACTGTTGTCGCTCTATTTTATTGTAAAAATGGACGTAATGAACAGTTCTTATTAAAGTAATACATAACAAAAAAAAAAAAAACATCTATTATTTGTGCGAATTTTATATTGCGAAATTTTTGTTTTTTATATTGATGTCTTCAAAAATCAGATTCTTTTATTATCAGGTTCCACACATTAAAGAATTTAAAGAAATTAATTAAAAGTTTTACTATGCTTTATAATTTTGATGTGTCAATTATTTTGAGTTTGTGCGTATAGGAAGATCAGAGCCTTGGTTGAGGTGTTTCTCAGCCTAAGAGGACAATTGCCCTCGTAAGCTTCTATAATGGCGTCATTTCTAAGTTAATAATTGTGTGAAATCTGGATGGGGCTTTTTTTAGGTAAGATAGGGTTCACAATCCCCTGTTCAAGATGATTAAACCAGCACCTAGGATAAAGTCATGAAGGCCCTCCTCCAGGTTAAATCTCAGTCGACCGTGATGTCTCTGCAGCTCAATTGTGGCATAAAAATTGCATTAAGTCCTTTTACTATTGTGCAATTTCTAATCTTGCTTTGAGTGTTCGGTCTAAAAATAATACCGCTTCCACTCAAGTTCCTTTAATAGCATTATTCAGGAGCCTGGAGAAGTGCTATTGCTATCTGCATCCCAGTCGTTTCCTGGCTGAAATCGCCGAGGCGCCCTTGCTGTGATGCAAATTAATTTGATTCCATAAGGATATTGAGACCCGCCATTACTTAGACAGTTAGTTTCCCCACCCGATCAGGCGCAGAAGCCCCCTAAGAAGCCCCCTCGCAGCCCCCTAAGACGCCAGACATCCCTGGCGCTCCGCGAGCCCCCGCACCGCGATTTCGACAAGGTGGGAACCCATGCGAGGGGGGGGGGAGGGGGTTAAACATTAAGAAAGATAAAACTTTATGCATATGTGTATATTTATTTTAAATTTAATCACGTAATATAAAATTCGTCGATTATTCATCTATTTTGCCATCTACCAAAAATTGTATCAATTTATAATGATTTTATATTTCATGTTCTATACAATCATTTGAAAAATATATTGTCATTACATCAATCACGTCGTAATAGTGCAATTGGTTTTATATACTTGTTTTGTATTCACGATATTTCTATCGAGCAACAATTAATTGAAATGTTACAGTAATTTGACACACACACACACACCACACATACACACATACACACACACACACACACACACACACACACACACGACGCACACACACACACACACACACACACACACACGCACGCACACACACACACACGCACGCACACGCGCGCACACGCGCGC